AGACAAAGAGGAGACTTAGCCAAGATAAGGATAAAGCTCTCAGGGAGTTTATCTTTATCTCATGAGAAATCCAAAGTAAGCATTGAATTGGAGTCCATAGAAGTCATGCTTCTAGTGGGACTTGGATTGAGTTAAACTATAAAAGAGAAGCACCCCCATGGGTCTAAGGTACGCAATTTATGTTTTGAGTAATAAGTTTGGCAATTGATTATCTTTGAGAGATATACTGACTTGATCGTCGGAGTGCCCTCGGGTGGAAGAACCACCGCCAGAACCTTTTCTTTCTGTTACAGGTTAGCTGAAGCCATCTATTCTGCCAGTGCTCTCTAGTTGATTACTAAGCGGGGTACATGATGGATATAGTCCGTGATACACATTCTGTAAACCTTCACTTTTTTCCAAATGAAGCACTTCAGCTCTCTCCAACAAAACATTAAACTCATCTCTTAATTCTATGTTTGGTTGGGGGATTTAAGGAGAGATTTGGAAGAAAAAAAAAAAAAAAAGGGAAATTGTATGTGAAACTAGGTGAAATATAGATATGTTTTATTCACATTTCACCTACATTTTTTATTTTTCTTTCCAAATCCCTCATCAAATCCCCCCACCAAACACAGCATAAAGGAACGCCTACAAGTTTAAACACCCTTGTTGATGACTGATATTCAAAATCCAAAAGCTTGCCACCCATTGATATCAAAAATTTGATCAAGTTTTCAAAGTAGGTGTCTTTAGGCAGTAATATGGCATCTGGTATGTGTACATATAAAGTGATTAATTGCGTCAACTTCCTCAACTCATCAAGGCTCACATTGCTTCTTTCCTTGTTGGTTGTAGCATCCTCCCATGTGGAATCTTTGAGAGTTTGTTACAATCTCTCAAATCTAACAACTGAAGTTGAATCAATTGTCCAATCTTTGATGGTAAGGCCTTGACATCAGAACCCCGAAGGCTAAGTACTTCAAGGTTGTTCTTTAGATTATGTCTTCCAACTGGCATTTATTTGGACATAACATCTGAAGGTTAACCAAATCTGCAAGTGATGGTGGGAGTTGCTACATATGTACTCCATTCAGTTCTAAAATAGTAAGTTTCTCTGTCCCACCGAAAAACGTGTCTAGAATAATAACGAAGGGATCAATGCATTTCAACAAAAAGGTGTGGAGTCGTGGACATCCCAATTTATTGGGAACCTTATGAATAGTTTTGGACCTTAATGAGATTGCCAAGTAAGATTCATACGTACCTTTTTCCGGCCTATCATGGACAGCATGTTTTACAAGAATTGTCTTTTCATCGGCAGCAATTGAAACACTAACATCTCGAATGACATCATCACTATAACAAAACTAATTATTTACAACAAAACTAATTATTTACGGCATGTGTTAAATGCATGTTGTAATTAATACATTGTACGACGTTTTTTTTTATAAGATGTTAATATTTTGTTAATAACAGCATACATACCGTGTAAGTCGTTAACACATATATTTATCGTATGCAAAAGTGTGTCGTAAAAAATATATGTTTTTACGACTTATAAAAATATGTCGTAAAATATTTGCACTTAAGACCACATACATTTCATATTATAAAATATTATAACTTTATACGACATGCTAATGAATGTCGTGAAAACTTCTATAAAAAATAAAATAAATAAAAATAACTAAATCAATCAATTTGATTTTTTTATGACATGCAAAAGTATGCCGTAAAAAATATATATTTTCACGGCATACAAAAATATGTTATAAAATATTTGCACTTAAGACAACATACATTTCATGTCATAAATATTAAATTTTATATTTTTTTTGAATTTAGTGATTGTTTTAGAAAATTAAAAAATATTTTCCTTCTAAGTATATGTAAATTAATTGAATTTAAAAAGTAAAAAAAAAAATTATTTAAAAACTTACGCCATACTCCCTCTCATTCTAGATCCATACATGTTTTGGTTCCAAATTCTCTCATTCTCTAGAGAAATTATATTTTAATTATAAATAATAAAAAAAATTCTAGATATTCTTAAATATTTATAAATTTCTAGTAGATATGAGATTTTTTTTTTCCTCCAATAAACTAGATATTCTATTTATAAACTAGATTTTTTTAAGGGAAAATCGGTCTAAGGTCCCTATCCAACTTTTAGTAATGAATTAGGTCCACAATCTGTTCTTTTGTAGTTTAAGGTCCCTCACCCCATCCTCTCCCCATCCACGTTGTCCTGAGCTTGAATCGGTGGCGTGATCGGAAACGTAATCATCATCACTCTGTTTCTGAAATACTGTAACAGCTCTGCGATTTGAGCTTCTTTCTCAACACCTTCTCCTCCGAAACGAAGGCTCTGTGTCCCAACACACGCCATTGCTTGTATGGTTTGGTACGCCTTCTCTATCCTATCTGTGAATCTATTATAAATTTCTTTCTGTTTTGTTGTTCTTTAGTGTTATTGCAATGTTCTTATTGGAATTTTAACATGTTGCCACATAACAGGATGCAGATTTAATCATGTTGGCTTTGGCTACCCATGAAGTCCATTTTGCAATACTCAGGGAGGTTAGTGTATTACGATATAATAATTCATTTTTTCTGAAGACTCTTGACTAACATTTTTGGTTCAAATTTGCATGATTGTTTAAGTTGGGAAAATCGTTATAATTTTGTATTTAAAGTTTATAGGTAGGAAAATGAGAAATAAATGCCATGTTTGGTTTGATTTTCTGAGTCTATTTTTTTTTTTTTTTTTTTTGGTGATGCAGAAAATTTCTCTGGTTTTAAAGAATTTCTCTGGATTGAATCCAGAGAAATTCTCTGGTGATGAGATTTTCTCTGTGAATATGTATCCAAGTCACTGAAGCCATCAAACTGCAGATAAATTCAGGAAGTTACAAAGGCTGAAATTTGGACTTGAAGCTCAAATGATTAAATGGCTTGCTATGTTTCCCAGGTATGTTTTCATTGTTTCAAGGGGTTTACAAGTGAATTTATCTGGTTGGAGGGGATTTTCTCTGGGGTTGAAATGTCTCTTTGATAGAAACATGACACATTTTTTTCAAACCGTGCAGTGAAAGCAAAGAATCTAGATTGTGTTTTTTGTCTTTTAAGCAAAAGGGATGCTTAAACTAACCCAGAAAATGATTACCATGGTTGAGCAATAGAATTGTTGGTGGGATTAATTAATGGCTGTTGCTAGTTTACAAAATGTTTCCATGCTTGATTCATCTTCATCTTCTTAGCCGGGGCTACCTACTCATGTCTGTTCAGTTTGACAAATATTTATCTACGGGAAAACCGTGGTGTTGAGTTGGCAGCAATAAGCTTTAAAGATCTTATATCGGCTTTTCATCGATTACCAAAAATCTTCTATTTCTTGGTGTTCAATACTGTCACTTTTGCTGGGAGTATGATTGTGATACTGCTAAACACATGGTCACTGGTCAATGAATGGTCACTTTGCTTTAGAGCAATTCTAATGTTTCACACCTTGGCAATCATAGTTATATATATATATATTCACAATTTCCAGAGAAATTTGAATTTTCTCTGGGTTGAATCCGGAGAAATTCAGAATTTCTTTGGATGAAATTTCTCTGAATCAATTTTCTCTGGACCAATTTTCTCTGGATTGATGTCGAGGGACCTTAGACATCATGAAAATATTTGATGTCCTTTATACTATAAAATCATAATATCAAAGACCTTAAAAAAAATACCCCTTTTTTTAATACAAAAATAATTTATAAACTTATACTTAATTCTTTGTCTAAAATTTTCTACTCCATTTTTTTTATTTATTAATATTGTTAAAATTACACTCTTTACATCCCAATTTTTTTATTTATTAATATTATCAATTGTTTTTTTTTTTTTTTGAACAGATTTATTACCAATCTGTTTCAAAATAACAGTTTTTTTTTTTTAATTTTTTTATTTTATCAGAGTTTTAACAATTTATTAGCTCACACATTTATTTTTATTATTATTATTATTATTATATTTTTTTTGTTTTTTTTTGTTTTTTTTTTTTTTTTTGTGAACAAGAGAAATACGCCCCCGTCCCAAAAAAATGGTCCCTTTTGGGGAATCCAACTTTTTTTGGTAGTACAATTATTGCATTTGAAAAAAGTTGATTTTCCAAAATTATCCTTTTGATAGTACATTTTTTGGGAATATCAATGCATAATTGTACTTTTTATGTTGTTTATTAATTTAAAAGAAGGGTAAAATAGGAAATTTATATTATTTTTGTACTTGATTTTTGAAGAGGGACTAATATTTTGGGACAATGAAAAATGGAATAAGGGACTAATATTTTGGGACGGAGGGAGTAAGACAAGAGGCGAACAGAACCTAAACAAAGAAAACAACTAGGCTAAAGCTAGCAACAGAGCAAGAGCAGGTGCTGCTGTATTTGTTTGTCCATTCTTGTATGTACGTCTCTCTCTCTCTCTCTCTTCTTCTTCTCTCTCCTTTCTCTCTATTGACATCTCACACAAACACACGAGCACCACCACCGACCACCACCAGCCACTGGCCCTCCGATGATGTTAGTACACGAGCACCAATCGATTGTTTCCGAGCTTGGCGTTTGATTCTAATTCCGAGCTTGGAGTTCGATTCTGATTCTGAGCCCCTTCCACGGATTTGATTTTCTTTGTGAGTTTCTAACTAATTCAGTTTCCATTTGATTAATTCGGTATATATTGTTGCTTGCATATCTATTTTTTTTGGTTTCTATTCAATTAATTCGGTGAGAGCCTTGAATTGCATCCCTTATTCGATTAATTCAGTTTCTCCTCTCTCATCTCTCTTTGATTTTGATTTGATTTCTAGAGTTTTGATTTTGATTTCTAGGGTTTTGATTTTGATTTTGATTTTGATTTGATTTCTATTCAGTTAAGCTAAATTTTTCTCCCTTGCAGTTTCATTTCAACTTTATGATCTCAAGCAGCAAGGATTCATAGAGAGACAGGAGCTTATGAGGTGTTTTGAATTGCGCTGTGTTTATAGCTCTTCAATGAAAATTTCTATTGATTTGGTTATGTAACATGTTTTGATGGTTTGAATGTCTCTGTTATTATTTGAATTTTGCTTGGTTCTGAATTTTGATGGAGATATTAGTTTCTTTGTTAGTATTATTAAATTTAACTTGCAAGAAAGATATACTTGAAGTAGGAACAGAGATTAGTCTAAATTTTATAAAAGTCATGTTTATTAGCTAATTTTGGGATAATTATTGATTATTAATAAGGTGTATGAATTTTGGAGAAATTGATTTAGTTACCTTGCTTAGTATGAAAAATGGACTTGTTAAAAAAATGGTTTGATTTGGAGTTGTTTTGGTATTTAAAATGTTTTTATTTTTTTATTTTTTTATTGTTCTTACAGTGCTAGTTTAGCTCTATGAGAATGCCCTTGTCCTTCATTCCTTCCTCCCAGTTTTTAGAACAACTATTTGGGATTGAGTTGAGTTAGGCAATGTATGTTAATTAAAATGACTGGTTTTTGTAGAATTTGTGTCAGGGATTTAAAATTTGCACATGAATTACTTAGAACACCTGACAACATGTAGATTTATGTATGTTTTTTGTATTTTATTTCATTTTTACATTTTGACATGCTCGTATAATTTTTGTTCCCTTCAAAGTTGGACGGGGAATCTCTTGACAGAGCTTTGATCTCTAGTCAGACAAATGTATATACTGCTGCTTTGTTCTGTGCCTCATGGTGCCCTTTTTCAAGTGGTGTTCGATCCAAGTTTGCTGTCCTCAGTTCAATGTTTCCTCAAATCAAACATGTGATGGTTGAACAATCTTCTGCCATGCCAAGGTGGGTATTGTAGTCTGATCTTCTGTTTTATTATTATTTACTTGTTCAGATGGATTATATTATGTTTCAGTCATTATGTCTGCTCAGAATGTAGATCAGAATGCTTGTATAGTGCACTGCCTGCCAGTTTCTGTATCTTAGGAGAAATTTGATCATTTTTTGCATATTGTAGCTAGTACACTTTACATTATAGACCTGGCTCAGATGTGTCAAAAAATATATATTATAGATATATATATATATATTTTTTTCTGAAAAAAAAGAACAATACTCATAGTAATATTCTTGTTCAATAATAATTTGTGCTGGCCGATTTTCAATATGTATCAGTTAGTATTGTTTGCAATTGTCTCAAATCTGGTCTGTAGTGAGCTATTCCTCTTCAGCTCACAACTGCTTCTTCCAAAGCGTTCACATCATCTACATGTTTGACAGGAATGGTTTTTTTTTTTTTTTTTTTCAACAATCGTTATAGTACTGTGAGTCTCTGACATTTGAATTTGGAGACATGGATAGGGCATGTGGAAGCATTGCTATAGTACTCCATATGAAGTGCCATGTCCTGCTCTAATCCTCACATTTTTAACGATTGGCTATATCAGCATACCATGTCATGTCATGTCATGTCCACATCTTGTGTCCACATCAATACAAAACATGCTTTCAGCTTTTTTCCTTTCTGAGTTATCTGGGCTCTACAATCACCAACCACATTGATCATCTGTGGATTTGAAGGGGTGCTTGTGTTTCTAGCTAAAAACAAAAATGAGGTATTATGTCTCATATCCCTTCCCCGTCTGTCTGCTATTATTAAAGATTGGTTGTATAAAGCATGTCATGTCATGTCATGTCATGGCTGTGTCTTTACTTCCTTATTGGTACTGCATAAGCTTTCACTCTGCCTGATAAAAAATTAAAAAAAAACTCTGCCTTGTTTGAGTTATCCTGGCTTTATGGTCGCCAATCACATTTGATAACCTCTCAATTTGACAGGGTGCTTGTCTTTATGGCTGAAAGGAAGAAAATAAAGGGAAAATTGCACATAAGTGGGATAGAGTTATGAACCTGTAAACCTGGCTTTCAAAGCGGCCACTGGAACTATAGACAAGTTATAAAACACCTAGATTTGATCCTAATTTGACAGGATAGCTAGAGAAAACCCAAAATGCTAGCAAAACACTTTATTTAAGCCTTAATTCATTACTTTACCATCATTATCCCTTCTCTTTCTGAACAGTATATAACATACTTATAGTGATAAAAACAACAAAGGTCAATCAAAAGGAAAGCAAGAATTTCTTGATTATATCAGTTCCTAGTTGTTAAAAAAATTTGGGCAAATGGGAAAAACCTATCAGAAATCAATAGACTATGGAAGATATATTTATTTATGTTTTCTTAGTATTTTAGTCTATTTATATTTCTGTATTTCATGAAATCAAAGCTGCATGAGGTGCAAATATATTTATTACTATAGTGATGACATATGATTGAATGAATTTAGCTATGATTGAATGGATTTATGGCAAATATATCTTAGACTTATTTCAGTACTTTTCTTCTTTCTATCATTCATTCCTTTCCTGTTTACTGTTCATATGATTGAATGAATTTAGCTAATGTGCCAGCTGCTTGATCTACCCTATTTTCACCCACTTATTTTAATTAATGTGCTTCACCTTTGAGTAATTCTATGTTTGGGACTTTGTGTTAATTCTTTTTCCATGGAACTATGCTTCAATAACAAATTGCATGGTAATAAAAATGTGCTGATTAGATATCATGGCACTTAGCTTCTAGTTTTGTTCAATAAGCATCAATACTTAGGTACTAAGCATACACTATATAGTTAATTTATCTTGACTAGCTGCTAATTTTCAGCCTACTAATTAGTACATCAGTATGGCCGATGCCATCCCAAATTTTTTTTTATCAGTTGTCTGATTAGTTTACACACATTTCAATAATATAAAATTACCATAAAACATAAAATCTAATCATAAAGATCTCCATCTTAACAATTTTGATTTTTGAATACCTTTCATTGGAAGTTGACTCATTTACTTGGGTTTGGATCTAGAGATTACATGTAAGAAAACTTGAAGGCAAGGTGCTGGACTTAGAACAACAACTCAATGAGATAAGAGCCATGCTGATCAAAGAAAGAAGGCAAAATGATGTAAGAGGAAAAACTAAACATGGTAATATAATGTTTGATGATTTAATTCAAGTAAATTTTGATTCAAATCATTTGTTATTTTATATTTAAATCACTTGCATGTTTGTCTTTGAGTGTAGGGTACCAATCCCTCCCCAAAAGCTCCAATCTACTCCTCATGACAACCTTCCTAAATCACTTGCATGTTTGTCTTTGAGTGTAGGGTACCAATCCCTCCCAAAAAGCTCCAAAAAGCTCCGATCTAGTCCTCATGACAACCTTCCAACTTTAGTGAGTGAAAATAGTATTTTCAGAACATTTTTATCTACTCCTCGTGTCTTTAATTGTTGGAATTCTGTGGTAACTATATGCTTAATGAAGTGTTTTTATGGTTTTTTAGGTGAATGAAGTTGGTTCTGTTACTGAAAGCATTGAAGCTATAAAAATATCTAAACGTGCTGGTTCTTCAATTGCAAACCTTCCAACTGGTTTAGATATGGTAAGTTATGCTCTTTTTAGAAGTCTTAGTTGTTATGATATGGTAATTAGTTATACATTATTGGCATCTTCTTGGGGCTGTGGATATTGACAATGTTGTTGGTATTAATGATGCTATCTAACTACAATTATGATTATACCAAATTTGGATTTTGGGGGATCATGCATTAATCTTCTTCTAGTGGCTTTTATGTTTGTTTTTAGTTTGCTTAATTTTAGCGATCAAACTGGGAATGTCATAGGATCTGAATTCCCTTTTCTAGCTCAGTGAAGTTTTCTTTCTTTTTTGGTTCTTGAATTCCCTTTTCTTATAATTTAATTGCCTGTCTTTATACTATGTATTGAGATAAAAAGAGTCAAAATCATCTCTAGTACTAAAGCAACATACCTGCATTAACTGTTTTACTGTTAGTGATTTGTCTATCTGTCTTTTAACCTCTGTTGCTCTGTAATTTCAATCTTTAATTTTCTTGGTTTTCGTGAATGTTGAACTTTCATTTTTGAGAGGAGCTTCAATCTGGAAGAAATCAGTGATAGAGTTTATGATGTAATTGAAGTTCTGTTATGGTTGATTAATTGTAGAATATGCATCATATAATATCTAGGGTTTCTGTTGTGAAGTATATCATACCTTCCAAAAATCATTGACCGACTCGAGTTGGGAAATTGTTGTTTTTTTGGCTTATGCAATTACAAGATTACAAGAATTACAGTAATACTGGATTCATGTAGATGAAATTTTCTTTTTTTGACATTGATGACATATATGAGTTCCCCTTGAAGCTTTGTGACACTTTCATTTCCTTTGTTGAACTAATACTTGATTAGTTCAACTTGATAAATGGGATGAATGTTATGCAGTATGCTTATATACTCTTAATTTTTGTAGGATCAAAGTAATGGTGTGTCGAGCTCAGAGAATGTCAAATGCAAGTTGTTGCATTGGGAAGAGACAAACTTGGTAGTTGCAGTTGGCCAAATTGTATCAAGGGATCCCAAGTCAAAGGTGCATCATGTGACCCTTGGACCTATATGTTGGCAAGTATGGGTGAACCACGTAACCGTCAATGTGTCGTCGTTTTGTTCTACTCATGAATTGTATGATCTTCAAGATGCAATAAGAAGTACAGTTGCATGGCCTAGTCAATTCATTCTTTTGGACTAAATATTAACTGATTTACAATTTGTAGTTATACTTTTTGGATGTTTAAAGTTGTATTTTAGAGATTAGTGAATCTTATGATTTGAATATTTTTTTTGATTTGTATGTTTGAGGTTGTTTTCAGCTTGATATGATAGAAGTTGGAGATGGAAGTTAGTATGCAGGTTGTTTGGTGTATGGATATTAGATTTTTTTGCTTATTTTGTAATTGCTGCTTCTGCCTGGTTTGTTAACAAGTTGTATTTTATAAGCTATTGTCTGCATACTGTTAGGCAAGGTTATATTCTTGTATATATATTATATATTAAAAGTAACCTTCTACGATATATAAAATTATGTCATAAAAAGTATAATGATTTATGACATGCAAGAAAATGCCGTAAAAGATTATATACAGTATACAAAGTATGTCATAAATATATTAAAAATGACCACCTAGGCATACAAAATTATGTCGGAAAAAGTGTGATAATCTATGATATGCAAGAAAATGTCGTAAAATATTATATACAGCATACAAAGTATGTCGTAAATATACTAAAAATAACCTTATATGGCATGCAAAGTTATGCCATGGAAAGTATGATCATTTATGGCATGACAAAAATGTCACAAAAAATTATATACGATATACAAAGTATGTCATTATTGTTTAATTTATTATTTTTTTTAACTTTACTTGCATGCCGTAAATGACGCTCAACTTTTCACGGCATGTCATATAACGGCATTTGTGTGCATGCCGTGAAAGAGTTTTTAAGACATGCATTGCAAGCCGTAAAAATTTAATTTTGTTATAGTGCATGCAATTTGACAACGTTTTTATTTGTGCCATCTAACAACAAAGAGCAAGTTTTGAGTGTATGGACCACTGTACGTACTGTATCTCTTGCTTCTTCAAGTGTATCTGGCTTTTGATTAAGCTACCCCCTCGCCATGCAATGTCTCACCAATTCGACAATTGAAATCTCAGCATCTTTAGGAAACATACAGCAGAGTAAGAACCATGATTTTGCATCCATGGATAAATAATCATGGCTCAACTTCAAAGAGTCATACTACTTTTGGCTATTTCCCTTAATTTTCTTTAGAATAGACTTTTTCAGCTTCTCAAGTGCGTTTTTCCAAACATACTTCTCCTTACCTTTTAATGCATCTCCAACTACAAGTATAGCAACCGGCAAACCTTGACACTCTTTACACACCTCTTTTGCTATATCATGTAGTTCAGGGAATCAAATAGAATTTCCTACCTTCTTGATTACAAGCCCATGCTTCTGTCTCTGATAGTACTTTTGATTTGAATTTCTGTATCCATTTCTATATTTTTCCACACAACTCAATTTCGAGATGTTATCACAACTTTGTTCCTACCTATGATAGGAATACCTACTGTGTCCAAGCTTAGTTCATGCCAAATATCATCCAATATTATTAGATTTTTCTTCCCATAAGCCACAATTGTTTTGCTCTCTCATGTCCGTCAGTAATTGTCGCTACATCAGGTTTTGGATTCAAACCCCCAACCAACTGTAATTGGATTTTTCTCACAGTTGCATCTTGAGAGACAACTGCCATCACAACTTCATCAAAAAGTCCATCTTTTTGCACTTGTTTGCCAACGTCTTCAACCATTTTTGTCTTTCCTACCCCTCCTAGTCCATATACCCCAATCTTGTAAGCCTTCGAATCTTTTAATGCATCCATGATAGTCTTCAAAACCAGTTCTCTTGAATCGAAACTCATATAATCCGAACTTACAAAACCAGCACTGGATGGGAATAAAAGTTTCTTGATATCACCAATCTTCCTTTTTGCTTGCTTGCTCACTCAATTTGTAGCGTGAGATGTAGTCGGGACACGAAAATTTAAAGCATTGCATGCTTTCCTTATCGGTTTTGTGGTTCACAAATTCTTCGACTTCTTTTATCATCTTGTCCGCCTTTGTTTGCCAGTTTGAAACATTAGCCTCAATGTCTTCACCAAGGGTCTTGTATTTATCAACTTCTTCATTGACTTTTTGCTACTAATCTTCCTGGTTCTTCTTTTCAGCATCCAACTTCTCCAGGTTTCCTTTGTAGCAAGTAACAAAACGGATATGACACACCACCGATTGGATCACTACATCAACAATTTTTTCTACAATCTTATCCAGTATGGTTTAGTGACTACACATTTTTAATTCACTCTTTTTCTTATCTCTTTGTGAGTTTTTTCTTTTTTGGAAAGTAAAATATGGTAGAAAAGAGAGGTTCAAAGCAAATGCTAACAATAGAAACAATGTAAATATTGCAACAGAAGCCAGTCAAGACTTGTGGTAAATGTCAAGTTTCTTATCTTTCAACCTCGAAAGTCAATATCTCAACCATCAAGCCTGAGATTCAAATTTGAGAAGATAGAAGCTCCCTTTATCTGCAATTAAGAGAGAGAAGAAAAAGAAAAATGATATAAATTACACTCTGCATCTACAATACATTGCATTCAATTTAGTACTTAAACTATTAATTTTAGTCAATGTGGTTGATTTTTCTTACCATCATTAGTCTTTGTCTCAAGACAGTCTTTAACACGATGGCCCATCTCACCGTATTCAAAACAAGCTCCAGACGATCAACGACAAACTCCAAAATGTGGCTTCCCATAACTTGAACATGTCGGCCTAGTACCACTTCCCTGATTTGAGTTGCTTGAACTGCCCGCATTTGCCTTTAATCTTGAAGCTTTTGTATTTGAACATGTCGGCTGAGAAGCCCTTTCGTTAAGATGTGATGTGTATTTTGTACTTCATTTCTTTATGTATTCAAGTTGTAAAGCTATGTAAAGATGTATGCCATTTCATTTGACTTATGCACTGCTCTTATGGACCACTTGTATCTTGAATTATTGCTTCCGCATTTGTGAGCCCCCTATATAAATACTCTGATTGTGTGTGAATTTTGTAAGTTGGCCTTTGGTAATTACGGATTACTGGCCATCACGGCACCAAACTACTAGGGGCGGTTTGGGGTCGTGACAATGTCCGTCAGTAATTGTCGCTACATCAGGTTTTGGATTCAAACCCCCAACCAACTGTAATTGGGTTTTTCTCACAGTTGCATCTTGAGAGACAACTGCCATCACAACTTCATCAAAAAGTCCGTCTTTTTGCACTTGTTTGCCAACGTCTTCAACCATTTTTGTCTTTCCTACCCCTCCTAGTCCATATACCCCAATCTTGTAAACCTTGGAATCTTTTAATGCATCCATGATAGTCTTCAAAACCAGTTCTCTTGAATCGAAACTCATATAATCCGAACTTACAAAACCAGCACTGGATGGGAATAAAAGTTTCTTGATATCACCAATCTTCCTTTTTGCTTGCTTGCTCACTCAATTTGTAGCATGAGATGTAGTCGGGACACGAAAATTTAAAGCATTGCATGCTTTCCTTATTGGTTTTGTGGTTCACAAATTCTTCGACTTCTTTTATCATCTTGTCCGCCTTTGTTTGCCAGTTTGAAACATTAGCCTCAATGTCTTCACCAAGGGTCTTGTATTTATCAACTTCTTCATTGACTTTTTGCTACTAATCTTCCTGGTTCTTCTTTTCAGCATCCAACTTCTCCAGGTTTCCTTTGTAGCAAGTAACAAAACGGATATGACACACCACCGATTGGATCACTACATCAACAAATTTTTCTACAATCTTATCCAGTATGGTTTAGTGACTACACATTTTTAATGAGAAGTTGGATGCTGAAAAGAAGAACCAGGAAGATCAGTAGCAAAAAGTCAATGTTAGCATTTGCTTTGTAGCAAGTAACAAAACGGATATGACATACCACCGATTGGATCACTACATCAACAATTTTTTCTACAATCTTATCCAGTATGGTTTAGTGACTACACATTTTTAATTCACTCTTTTTCTTATCTCTTTGTGAGTTTTTTCTTTTTTGGAAAGTAGGATATGATAGAAAAGAGAGGTTCAAAGCAAATGCTAACAATAGAAACAATGTAAATATTGCAACAGAAGCCAGTCAAGACTTGTGGTAAATGTCAAGTTTCTTATCTTTCAACTTCCAAAGTCAATATCTCAACCATCAGGCCTGAGATTCAAATTTGAGAAGATAGAAGCTCCCTTTATCTGTAATTAAGAGAGAGAAGAAAAAGAAAAATGATATAAATTACACTCTGCATCTACAATACATTGCATTCAATTTAGTACTTAAACTATTAATTTTAGTCAATCTGGTTGTTGTAAAATACTTTAACAAAAAACGATATGTGCCACTAAATTGAAGTACAAAGTGAAAAAATAATAATAATATAAAGGTGAAAATGAGGGGGAAAAAAAAAATGACTAATCTCGAGATCCACGCAAAGTACCCCACGTGGTGCAGACGTAGTCCCGAGGAGCAGATTGCTCCTAATAAAAGTTGAACTTGTGACCTAGAGGGAACATACCCTTAAGCCTTAAGTTGCACTCACTAGGCCAACCTCTTGAGAAAATATTACTTGTAGAACATGTACATTTATGTGTAAGAATAAAATGAAAATTAAATATTTAAAGTTGACAAAACTTATTTTTTATTAGTGATGTGTTTGATTCATGGATTTCGCTAAGAATTTGGAGCAGATTGCTCCTAATAAAAGTTGAACTTGTGACCTAGAGGGAACATACCCTTAAGCCTTAAGTTGCACTCACTAGGCCAACCTCTTGAGAAAATATTACTTGTAGAACATGTACATTTATGTGTAAGAATAAAATGAAAATTAAAGATTTAAAGTTGACAAAACTTATTTTTTATTAGTGATGTGTTTGATTCATGGATTTGGCTAAGAATTTGAAAAAGAAAGAGAAGATAAAGAAAATGTGAATGAAATATATATATATATATATTGTATATAAGTTTTTATTCAAATTTATGATTCAAATATAACTCTACGACCAGTTTGGATAATTATATATTTTAAATCAAGGGATTTGTGGTTAAATACATAGAAAGGAAAAAGATAAGATGAGATAGAACATATATACATTTCAGTAGGTTGTTCATATCAAGCAATAGAATTATTTGCATGATTTCGATAGAAAATTATTCAGTGCTCACCAATAACTTCCCAATTTGAATTACTAGTTTTATATGATGATTTAAAATCCATCAAGATTTAAGTACTTAA